ACTTTCATCTCGTATAAAAGGGCATGGAGATGAGTTTCGAAGGTGGGAAAGTTCTAATTCATCACCTTAAACGAAATTTGGTAAATACATCACATATTACTGATAAATATTAGAGCGATATTTCTTTACTATTCCCCATTTTTCATGAGCCCTGCGTTAACTTATATATTGGTAGCAAGGGTAAAAGATACCTTTCACTGAGTTAATTTGTTCTCTATCACTTAGTTATCTTGGATTTGTGAAATATTCATGATCTTTTATTAACACTACTGCTAAGAAGTTTATATTATTAGATTTTAGGCGCCATTCTGACTTGATTAATGAGCATATCTTTAAACTCCATTATGGCAACACAAAACATAAAATGACTGTAAGCACAGGACTTGGATGGAGCCAAACATCTCATCGTTGATTTATCACACTTCCCTGCCTCGTAACGGTTTACGCCATTTTTTTCTCTACAGACCACTTTATGTCGGCGGCTCTGGTGGGCCGGCCAGTGGTTCCGGTCTGCTGAATGCAGGTGCAACTAACAGCCGTGTGACTGGTGTCATTGTCGAAAGGCCAGCCACGAAAGATAATAAGCATCGGCCTAACGACGGTGGAGTCTCTTTGGCAGGACCACGACTGGGTGGAGATGAAGAAGAAAGTGAGGAGGGCAAGTCAAAGGGCCTGGCAATTCGGAGGGCGGAAGAAGATGATGACGATGACGATTGCTTCGTGGTTGAAGAGACGTTCGTTGGTGGGGCTGGAGCAGGCCTTATGAACAGAACGAGCATGCTTTCAGATGGGGAGGTGCCTGCTGACGAGAAGCATGGTAGGATAAGTGGCAGACCACTTATTTGCTGCCTACTATTCACAGACGGATGTTGAAATTCTTTTTCTTGTATTATGAACTTTTGATGGGAATCTTTTAGAATGTTATATGGTGAGTCTTTGAAATTACTGATGACAGTAGCCTGTAATTCGGAAAACTTTCTAACATGGCAACTGTTAAATGCAATTTTTGTCGGGTTTACTCGCACCTTTTATGTGAATTTAAAATTTCCTTCGTATAACCCAAACCATGAGGAATCTTCGGTTCCGTTATTTTGCAAAACCTTCCAAGCTAATTAACGTTCCATGACATTGATGCATTAGTCATTTCAGAAAAAGGATTAGACAAACCAGTTTTCCAGCTGCCTGCACCAGAGGAGGTCAAACTTATCCGTCTTGTGATTAAGTCATCCTCTACTTGCAAGTAGCATCTGGAGTTTGTATCCTCCACATGATATAGGCAAAGAAATGTTGGGTTTCGAGAAATCTCTTGTTTCATGCTTGTTGAGTTTACTTCTATTCCGAGTAGAAGTGTTGAAGTGAAAAGATTCGAAGGTCGGTTCCACCAAAAGACGACAGCGGATTCCTCTTGACCAGCTGTCGATCGGCTTTGCTGGAAGATTCATGCTGACGCTGTTTACGAGGCAATATCCTTCGTTTTCTGTTAAAAGCTTTGGTCCGTTACATGACGGACATCATCAGAGCGAGGTATCATCGTCACAACCAAATTCAAGCTAACGAGTCAAGAAAACTCTCCGGCGAATCCCTAAAAAGTGATATATATACTTAACCAATTGATTAGTTTTCTTAAATTGTGTTGTGACGATGATACCTTGCTCTGATGATGTTCGTCATGTGACGGACGAAAGCTTAGTACATTTTCACTAGAATCGAAAGAGATTACCTCGGAAACAGCGTCAGCATAAAGCTTCCAGTAAAGCCAATGGACAGCTAGCCAAGAGGAATCCGCTGTCGTCTTCTGGTGGATCCGACATTTGAATCTCTTAACG